ACTCGAAGATTGGGCATCAGCAGGAGGAAACGAGGAACTACAAGAAGACGTCATCCATTACAAGGGAGTAACGTTTCATCCCAAGTCGAAAGCGAATAAAATCGTACGAAACATCTTGCGAGACGAAATTATTAGAAACGAGTCTGTAATTATCTGGCACGACGTAATAAACAATCCGATTTCAGAACATCCATTCAATCCAAGGACTCCCCTTACTGCCAATCAACTAGTATCAGAAATCAAACCCCTAATCAATTCGCATCCTCGAATTGAAGGCATTGTCTATTGTCAGAGAGACGGTGCACCCTATATTCTTGAAGATCTAAAGAAACTTCCGATACCAGTTGTTCAAGTTACAACAGACATAATTTCGAGTTCTAAACAGGACAAAGATCTACTTGAAGGATACAGAGCACTGCATCAAGAAACCGCATTTGAAATCAAAACTTTAGCTATAATACGAAACAACAATAACAACTTGAGTGATATCTTAAAGAAGAAAAAGAAACCGTCAAAAAAAACAACGAGAAGCACGAAGGAAACGAGAACAGAAATAAATTGTGAGTTTAAATATCAATTCGTGACGGGATTGGGCTTAATTGTCCAGGCTTGGATCAAATTGTAAATAAATTTTCTCTATCCCATTTTCTCCATCTTTCTGTATCCACTAATATGACTAAAAATTGCAAAACGTGCAAAAAACGCATAAATGCCAGGGACAGATGTTTCAGTTGTGTATCTTGCAATGCTCAAATGCATCTTGAGGGCACCTGCACTGGTCTTACTAACACCACCATCAATGGCATAAAAGACTTGGGTTTAAACGCAATGCTTCTATGCGACACATGTGTCACTAATAACGAAAGAGATAACTTTATAAAGTGTAGGACCATGATGCAAATAAACGAGAAAATTGAAAAAGAGAGTGAGGGATTACAAGCACGTCTTGAAAATATGGAAAAAAGGCTGACGGCATTGGTTGATGAAAAAGTCGAAAACGCTACAAAAACCACATGCGAAAAACTGGAAAAAAAGCTATGCAGATGTACTTTGTGTGAAACCTGTTAAAGATACGAAAGCTCAACCAGGAGCTGGAAAGTAGTAAAACATGAAATAAATCATAATATCAATAAAAGCTTCCGTATACAGGGGATCAGAGAAGATCCCGAGAAATCAAAAGGCGAAAATTTTGTCCCCACAACCGAAAAAGTACACGAGGTACTAAACAAGTTAGGAGTTAAACCACAAATTGAAGAAATGAAAAGGCTAGAGAAATTCAGCAAAGAGCGCATCGAGTCAAGAACTTTATTAATAACTCTGTCAACGGAACATGGAACACGATTGGGGCTGGCGAAGAGCTTCGAAAAAAGAGATGAACTGCGAGATGAGGAAATTTACCTTCTGCCAGCATTATCGAAAGAAGATGCGAGGAAGGAAAAGCTATGCCTAAAAAGACGAAGAGAACTTCTAGACGAATGAGTTCCAAAGGAGAAAATCAAAATCAGGAATTTCGAGCTGTTCAATGATGGGAAAAAAGAGATGATAGAAGCCGAACAAGCAGATGATGCTTGACTAGGCTTTCTCAACATCCTGCAAATGAATGTAAGAAGTCTCATAAATCTCGAACGACGAATGAAGTTTGCAAATGCTAAAGCAAAATCAAACTATGACATAATATGTCTCTGCGAGACTTGGTTAAATGAAAACATTGCATCATCTGAATTAATGCTAAACGAATACAGTATTTATGGATCAGAACGACAAACAGTCAAAGATCAAAATTTGCACGGTGGAGTACTAATGGCAGTGAAACAAACATTTTCAACTAAATTATTGCCAAATAAGCAACCTGAAGGTTGTTTAATTTGCAGCATCCAAATAAACGATAAGCGAATTATTGTCTGCTGCTTTTACAATCCACCTTCGAGCAACAAATATCGCTATTGTCTGGGCGATTTCGCACAAATTTTAAATGAAATCGAGAAATCAAATCAATCAACTGCAACACTTATTTGAGATGTAAATTTTCCAAATGCAAACTGGATTGACTATAGTAGCACCGAAAATGAAGAAAACTCAATAATTGAACTAATCGAGCAACATCAGTTTGAGCAGGCAACAGATTTTCCAACTTGTGGCAAAAACACCCTAGACATTACATTATTCAAAAATTGTCACATTCATGCGACTCCTGACGAAAATTTCTCAAAAATTTACTATTGCTCCGACCACAAAGCAATCAGCATTCTACTTGAATGTCCTCACCATGAGGTAAAAGTGGCTATTGAAAACTTTCGAAGCTTCGGTAGCGTGGACTATAAAGAAATCAAGAAATCAATACTAAGTGAGCCTTTCTCACCAGTACGTCACACAAACATCAATAGAATGTGCGAGGAACGTTACGACTATTTGAAAAATTTGGTTAACCAACATGTGTGCCAGAAGAACGAGACGTCGCCAATCACTTCCGCCATGGATTACGCCAAGTACCTCAAATATCATGAATAAACTGCGAACACAAACTAGAATATACAAAATGAAACCTACAAATTACCGCAGAAATCTCATTCTATCTCTAGATAAAATGGTGAAAGAAGCAGTAGAGGAAGATAGATTAAACTATCAGTAAAATGTGATGTCCACTCGTAACACACATTTAAATTTCAAACATTTAAAGAGTGAAAAAATCAGAAACACTCCCAAAGACTATGATCAAGGACGACATAGCTGTTTCCAAAGCCAAAGAAAAAGTGAACTTTTTGAATGAAAATTTTCACTCTGTCTTTTTGCCCAAATCAAGCTTCAACCTCAGTGACATGAAGTGCGAAAACACGATATTGAGTAACTTCAGTATCTCAAAAACATATTTAAACCAAATTATAACATAACTTGACATAACAAAATCGCGGGGCCCAGATGGACTTCCGCCGATTTTCTTCCAGCAAACGGCCAGAGAAATGACCACAATTTTGCATTGCGTTTTTAAAAACATTAAGAGGGTAAGGAAAATACCAGATAAATGGAAAAATGCGGCTGTGTCGCCTATTTACAAGAAAGGTGACAAACGACTAATGGAAAACTACCGGCCGGTGTCACTCCTAAATATCATGAGAAAACTTCTGGAAAAATGCATGTATCCAGCGCTGTACGACCATTTCATCAAATTTCTCAAAAGAAGTCAGCACGGTTTTGCTAAAAACCGTTCACTTGTTACAAACATGTTATCTTTCTTGAAAGAAATCTACGAAGCAACTGACAAGAACGCTGAAAACCATGTGATCGCATTCTATACTGACTTATCTAAGGTAGTCTATACTGACTACGAACTACTAGAGAAGACGAGCAACAATGGAATTGGAGTCTGTTTCCTAGAAATAATCTCAGACTATCTCAGCAACAGGAAACAATTTGTTCGTGCTGACAATTTCTCATCAGAAACTTTAGAAATTACAAGTGGCGTACCACAAGGATCGTTGATTGAACCATTATTCTTCTGCATCTTCATAAATTATCTTCCTGAAGTATTGAAATTTAGTGACCCATATATCTTTGCAGACGACCTAAAATTACTAGCAGTGAATGTAGACACAATGGACATCTAGCAGGACCTAAAAAGTGTTGAAAACTGGGTAGACAAAAACAAAATGAGTCTGGCACTGGACAAATGTTTTAAAGTCGAATTTAGAGGAAATCAACACGAATTCATTCTTGGTGAAAGCCCGAATATGATAAAGAAGGTCGAATTTAGAGGAAATCAACACGAATTCATTCTTGGAGAACTGACAAGAACGCTGAAAACCATGTGATCGCATTCTATACTGACTTCTCTAAGGTAGTCTATACTGACTACGAACTACTAGAGAAGACGAGCAACAATGGAATTGGAGGCTGTTTCCTAGAAATAGTCTCAGACTATCTCAGCAACAGGAAACAATTTGTTCGTGCTGACAATTTCTCATCAGAAACTTTAGAAATTACAAGTGGCGTACCACAAGGATCGTTGATTGAACCATTATTCTTCTGCATCTTCATAAATGATCTTCCTGAAGTATTGAAATTTAGTGACCCATATATCTTTGCAGACGACCTAAAATTACTAGCAGTGAATGTAGACACAATGGACATCTAGCACAACTCCTTAGTTCTGTACAACTCCTTAATACTTCCTGTTCTAACGTATGGTCTAATTATTTGCAATATCTCAAGAAACGACTTAGGGAGATTAGAAAGGTTTCAAAAGAAAGTCTTAAAATGGATCATGGGAAACGATTCTGACTATACAGAGCAGCTGAGATTGCTAAACATCCTGCTTCTGGCGTTGTTTCTCTAGCTGAACGATTTACTGATGATGGCGAAATTCATGCATGAAGAAAACGATCACATTAAGCTCCCGGCAAAAATTGAAAATCCAGGAACGAAAGAAATTTTCAACCTAAACAAGACCAGAACTGAAAAAGCTAGAGGAGAGTATACATTCAGGACGTGTCGTCTAATAAACCGACTAAATCAGAAAATTGAATTTCGAGAAATGCGAGGCTTACAGCGAAGATCGATACAGATGATGTGGAAGTTTTTCGACGATAAATTCTCAGAAAAAAACAAGTGCACATGGGTCCTCTTCTGTGACTGCAACATGTGCCGAAATAACTGGACAAAATTTTGAGAACTTTGGGGATATCACCCCATCAGTATCCTACTGAAAATTCACAACAACAACCAACAACACATTGTACAAAATTAACAAACAAGACACTGCTTTCAATTTTCTATATTCATAGAGCAACTCAAAAGATTGAAGCTCTTTGTGTTTAATTAAACTTGACTGACTCTAATAACATTTGATTTAAAAACATGAATATCGCTTTGTTAATGTTAGATTTATGAAAACCGAAGTTAAATTGCTCTACAGTTTAAAAGTAAGTCCTAATCGCGAGCTTATGAAATTAAATGCCGCTACTCGCTTAACTTTATTTGACATCAGCCTATGAATTTGTACCCACCCTTTGCCATGTCTAGCGAAAGATTCAATTCTTTGAAGAGATCCGGCATCTTTTCATTCAGAGTCTGCAGACATGCCGCGTAGTCTTCTCCATACTCGCAAAATTCAAGTGGTCGAGTGCATTCTGGACAATACTGCACCTTCAGTGGATACTCGGGATCCTTTTCCGGCACTGATGTAGGCTGTCCTAAAATTTCTCCGCCAGCAGCAACAGAGATGCCTTCCTCGGCATCTTCACTCATCATCAACAACTGAAGTTCAATGCACACAGCAAATCAACTATCATTTCACTAAGTCAAAAAGCCAATGATAATTCATATATTAGGTAGAAGTAAAAGGGAGTGCAGCCTGTATTTAGACCACCGCGTATCTTCATTAGTTAGACAAGTACTGTATGAACCAATCAGAGTCGAGAAAAGACATAAATAATCCAAAAATAAATCATAATTATTTATTAATTTCTTCTTTGTCTCGATTCTGATTGGTTGAAACAGTATTTGTCTAAATACTGACGAGTCTGAATACGCGGTTGTTTCGGGTGAGACGTCCAAGGAAAGCCAAATGCGAACAGAATTTCATGTACCAAACCTGTCGACTTGCGAATGTGTGAAAAATCGATTTAAGAGAAGGGATTGGCTTGAAACAACGACTTCTAAAAATCTTCTGGTCGGAATTCGAGCAATAAATTGATAGCGACAAGTGCACTTGGAAATTAGCGTACGTGTAACATTCGTCTACTGTAGTCACACATGAGGCTTAAGAAAAATAGGCCCTATAACCATTGGCTCAAGAGTCAGGGACACTATCTCTTGTGTTTTTCTACCTCAAATCAGTCGGAGCCAATTCGGTTCGCTTGTGACATGAGACTACGACCCGTTACAGCTTAAAGGCTACTACCAAAATATCCACCCACTCTAGAAATAATAACGTCCCCATACTTTGGTCTCTAGATACCCAAAATACACGAACGCCGTTAAAAACCGGGTCGGAACAATCCGTTAAGTTACTTTTTATTAGACAGTGGAACAGGGATGTCGAATACTCGGATTTTTTGATATTCGTTATTCGCCGCGGCCCAACTATTCGATATTCGACTTCGGCCGAATAGTGCCCTTACTATTCGGATTCGGCTTCGGCCAAATGTTACTACTCGAACAACTATTCGGATTTTGGTTATTTTCCCAAAAAACTTAGCATAAAAGTTTGATACAACAAATTCTATAAAAAGTATTGAACATAGCATTTTTCAAGTAGAATTGGCTGGGACTTGCGTAATAATGTAAAAATCGCGGGAGTGAGTAAATGTTAAAAATCAGTCACAACTCACAACCCAGTTTTTCGAGCTAAATCGACTGAGATCGCTAAAAACTGTTAAAAATCAGTGACAACCCAGTTTTTCAAAAACCTTTTATTCTTATTTAGTCTTGAACTCTAGCCCGCTTGAAAGGAATTACAGTTTGGTCCGATGCAATGACAGTTTGGACCGTTTTGCTATCACACACTTGCGTGTGTTTAGTCATCGAAGTCGTTGACGCCCCAATACTCTTAATCAAAACATTGCATTTAATGCACTTTCTTCCTTCCGTTTTTCTACCACCTCGATATTCCACAAGAAACTTTTCATGCCATTTTGCCACTCCTTTGTGAAACAAAACAGTAAACCAAAATTCGGAATATTCGGGTTTTTTAGCAGTGGACCCTGGATTATTCGGTATTCGGCAAAAAAAAATATTCGGATTCGATATTCGGATTTCAAAATTTTAATATTCGGATTCGGCTTCGAAGTGCCGAATACTCGGTATTCGGGTCGAATACTCGGATTCGAATCGATATCCCTGCAGTGGAACTTTGATCCATTTCAGATGGATCAACCTAAAACTCGCCTTACCTCAACATAACAATTATAAAACACACTCTAGAAATTTAAATTGGTACTCACATTGTAGCACGCTCAAGAATTGGGAGTAATTAAGTCGGTAAGCAACTCAAGAATTAAATAATGTAACTAAATGAGTTTAATGTTTGTCAGTTTCAACAACAGGAATAAGTTTGTACTCTAGAATGCAGTTTTATGTGGACCATTGGGACACTCAAGCTGTCCACCTTTCCACCGAAGGTTCACTCTGGTCCAGTTCGAATAGTTGATCAGTTGGATAATTGTCCAGTTCTCAGGAACACTCTGTCTCTTATTTCAAATAGGACAGCTCTACTCTAGATTATTATTGTCTCGGAAATTGCGAATGGCAATTTCCTAGTGATTTATCTTGCAACTTTCCCGCGATTGTCACTCGATTGTTCTGATTTCTCTTTTTCGGTTTTCAGTTATCGCGAGAAAATCGTGCATGACAGGCTCCATTCGAATTTTTGAAAAATTAAATTTCACCCCAAAATTAAGTGCTCTTGCTTTTCTCAAGGTCAAACTTCCAAACATGACCGACTGGCACATACTCCCCGGACTCAAGATCGATGTCCTCATCGCGTGCTGTCATCTGCCAGTGAATCCCAAAAAACCGAGTGTTGCTCAAGGTACAGTGCCAGTGGTCATTTACAGAAGTTTGCAGCAGACTTAAGCTTATCTACACCCCAAAATTCACGGCCATGTAAAATTTTCACACTATCGCTAAACAGCAATCAAAATCTGCACACACCTGCACCTATGAATTCTCGCTTTTCAAGCCAATTATTTAAAATTTCTTTTGTCCCATTCAATTAGGAAATTGTCATGCAGCATTTTGATTTATAAAATAGATATAGCAGATTAATAACAATATCTGTTTCGTTAAAATTTCTTTTTCGTGAACCCAGGTTTCACCCGGATCCACACTCAAGCCCCCTTTCCCTCTCAAGACTCAAGATCCATTCGAGCCATCCGCTCATCTCGCACTCTTCGCCTTAGAGGTGCCGTCTCCTGAAGTACTGGATACGGCAAACTGTCTCAACAGTTCTTCTTCATCATCGGAGCTAATCACGATCTCCTCCCAAGCCTTCAGCTGTTCATATGATCGCATCCATTCTCTTTGCTCCTGCAACCTCTTCGCCTGGTTGGGTAGTGCCTTCACCCTAGATTCCCGGTTCAAACAAAAGGAGTTGTGCAGGCTCAAGCTCACGTTCTTCGCCAGGTCCTCCTCTAGTATCGATTCCCTTGCTTTGGTATTGTCTCTAGACATTTTACCCACTCTCTTCCATCTTGTCGTGATCGCATTTTGATGGGTTAACAGGGGTCTCTTGAAAGCTTCCGGCCCAATCTCGGCCTGGAACTGTCGATAATCCTTTTGATGCCTTCTCATGTGATTTTTTGTTGTCATGTACAACCAAGAGGTCAGCGTCGCCCGAAACCATGGAAAGTACCTCAAACGGCTCCATACGTGTCTGACTTCCGTTGGTATGGCGAATACTTTGCACGCAGTCTTAAACAACTCGAGTCTCCTGCTGTAGTCTATCGCATATATTGATTCAGCCGTTGGCGTCGTCGCTTCCCGATACTTCGTTATATTCTCATCTATCCATCTCAGAGCCAGCATCGTACTCACTACTAAGAGCGTCACCTTCTGCCGGTGATCCGGTAGTCCGATCGACTGAATTTCTTCTATATCCCACACCAGGCAAAGGTTCTTGTGATCTGGATACCACACCGTTTGTGCCAAACAGTGGCATGGGCATTCTCCATGGGTGATCTCAATGCTCCTGAGGTTACGCTCTCCCGAGGCTTCCAAGAGAGGCTCAAGCTCCATCATTTTCTCATGCATCGTTTCGTTCTCTCCCATGTTCGGAGTACCCCCCACAGGTTTTCCGATCACGTTTTGTCTCTCGTGATCGCTTGTGTTCTCACTTTCCAACTTCAAAAGCTCTTCTCCCCAGATTTCACTCAAGTCATCTCTCAACTCCTTCGGTACTGTCCCTTTGATTTTCCTCAACAACTTGTGCGAGTGATGCGATACCCGAGCCAAACTCACGCACTTGGGCACTGAGAAGGCCTTGTCCACCAATATTCTCTGGCTGCATGCTTCCACCATCGCCATGTGCAGTGGGTAGTGGCTTCCGCACAAATTGGCCATCCTTGACCCTATCAGGGATTTTGCGTTCAATGGCAGGCCATAAGCTTCGCTCATGGGAAACCCCATTTTCGCCTCGAGACCAACCTTCCAACTCCGGATATGTTTTTGAGTCACCTGCAACACTCCCGGCCATGATTCCACGCTCAACGCCGTCACTAAATGGTGTTCAGACTCTAGCCTCTCCAGTGACTGCAGACTACACATTCTCGAGAAGAATCCGAGAGCTGTCGCTATGTTCACCGTAGTTCTCGCGTAACACTCCGCCACTATTTGTACTTCACTTTTCTCCCTTTCCGTGATGTCTTCAAACCAAGTAACCAGATCTTCTTTTTGAAAGGACAAAATCCTGACACATGATCGTCCATCGCAGGTGTGCTCTCCACTCCCACACGTCGAATCCAGACAGCTACCCGGCTCCATCTTCTTTGCTGACTCGAGACTGTTTGTCTTTTCGCCTGACTCCTTCATCTGAGGTAAGATCAGTTTGTGCACCACACTCAACTTTGCCAAATCTTCATCTTCCGTTGGAGCTAACCTCACCCGTTCGGTGGTCTCCTCGATCAGACTCGCGTGGGGATGTGGGCACCAGGAGGGTCTTAGTAACTTCCATACCACTCCCAAGTTCGTGATCAGCAAGCCATTGCCATCACCCATGTTCACTTCAACTCTCTTGCTCGAGCGCGGTATGCTCACCACCTCCGGTGTTTTCTCAAGAATCAGGCCCAGGCTCGGCCTCTCTTTCTCCACCGCGTCTATTTCCATTATTTTTTCTGTCCAAAACTTCAGCAGCTCCGCTACCTCGTGGTTCCTGTGAGCGCCTCCAGTTTCTGAGTCGAAGAAGGGGTTGTAGGCTATTCCCATCACTCCTGACACGTATTGGTATTCCCCCTTCTCGCTGGGTCTCGAGTACTGCTCTGACGAGGCCAGGTTACGGTGAACATCATGTTCTTCTTCGAACTTCTTGTTAAAAAACCTCCGCACCTCATCTAGCTTTCTGTGGTTCTCTAGGGATAGTCTGGAACCATCTTCCTTTTCTATTCCAGTACTCTGATACACGTTTAAGATGATCGTTGAGACTCTTTTTTCCACGGTTTTACTTCCGCTTGCTCTTTGGTGGCACGCCAAGATGGTGCTGTCAGACATCATTGGCATTATCCATCTCAAGAAACATGTGGCATCCTTCCTCCTAGCCAGGCTCAAGCCTGAATTATCCCTGGCC